TCAGTGATTCATGAACTTTGTGACTCAGTGATTCATGAACTTTTTGACTCAGTGATTCATGAATTTTTGACTCAGTGATTCGTGAACTTTGTGACTCAGTGATTCATGAACTTTTTGACTCAGTGATTCATGAACTTTGTGACTCAGTGACTCATGAACTTTGTGACTCAATGATTCATGAATTTTGTGACTCTCTGATTCAGGAACTTTGTGACTCTCTGATTCATGAACTTTGTAACTCAATGATTTATGAAATTTGTGCCTCAGTGATTCATGAACTTTGTGACTCAGTGATTCATGAATTTTGTGACTCACTGATTCATGAACTTTGTGACTCTGATTCATGAACTTTGTAACTCACTGATTCATGAACTTTGTGACTCTCTGATTCATGAACTTTGTGACTCTCCGATTCATGAACTTTGTAACTCAATGATTCATGAAATTTGTACCTCAGTGATTCATGACTTTTGTGACTCAGTGATTCATGAACTTTGTGACTCTCTGATTCATGAAATTTGTGACTCAGTGATTCATGAACTTTTTGACTCAGTGATTCATGAACTTTGTGACTCAGTGATTCATGAACTTTGTTCTTCCAGGACGCCTCTAGTCTCTCAAGGCGGGGTTAGTGTTGCTGCAGAGGCGACTGAGCCCCGACTGGGTCGTGCAGCTTCCTGATGTGCTTCTTCAAGTCAAAGTTCCTGCAGAAGCCTTTCCCACAGGTGGGGCAGGTGAAGGGTTTCTTGTCGTTGTGCGTGTGCATGTGGAAGGTCAGGTTGTAGACCTGGTGGAAGGCCTTACTGCAGATGGAGCACTTGAACTGCTTCTCCCCACTGTGTGTCAGCTTGTGGTTCTTGTAGTTCCCTGCAAAGGTTCAGAGCAGACATGGACCACCTTCATTCACACTAGTCAGACTCTGAGTGTTAGCAAAACATCTCATAGACCACTGAACAGGGTTTAATAAAGCCCAGTAATCATCTTCAACTGCTTTATGAGTTACCCGGTTCAACATGGCTGCCAGAACATTTCTGCAGAGATGTTGCCCAAAACACCCAATCTAAGTTTGTAATAATCTAAAAATTAGATGTCCATCCATCTATCTATTATCTTCCACTTGTTCTGATGTCAGGTTGTGGGGCAGCAGCTTGAGCAGGGAGGCCCAGACATCTCTTTCCACAGCCACCTCTTCCTGCGCTTCTGGGGGGATATCAAGGTGTTCCCAGGCCAACCAAGAGCCATAGTCTTTCCTGAGTGTCCTGGGTCTTCCCCAGGGTCTCCTCCCTGTCTGACATGCTCTAAGCATCTCACTAGGGAGTCGCCCAGGGAGCATTTTTACCAGATGCCCGAACCACCTCAACTGGCTCCTCTCGATGTGGAGGAGCAGTGGTTCTACTCCGAGTCCCTCCCAGATAACTGAATTTCTCACCGCATCTCTAAGGGAGAGTCCAGCTACCCTGCGGAGGAAATTAATTTCAAGGATTCAAGGATTCAGGGTTCTTTATTTGTCATTCCACCAGATGCGGTACATGTGGTGAAACGAAATTATGTACTGTATACAGGGTCCCAGTTGCATACAACAAATGTATTAAAATGTAAAAGAAAAACAGAAATAAATAAAAAAATACGTTAACAAAAATACACTAAGCACTAATAGCTTAAAGAACAATACACCGAACAGCAGCACAAACATAAGTCTGTGTGAGCAGATGAGTACAAATGAACACAGCAACATGATGTGATTTTTCACAGTGATTATCCTGGTTAGAGATTCATGAGTCTAACAGCTTCAGGGTAGAAGCTGTTCCTCAGTCTAGTGGTTTTACACTTAATGCTCCTTAACCTCCTTCCTGAGGGGAGTGGGACAAAAAGTGTGTGTGCTGGTTGAGTGGGGTCCTTCATGATGCAGGTGGCCCTCTTCCTGCACCTGGTGGTGTAGATGTCTGTGATGGTGGGGAGACTGACTCCAACATATTCTGTGAAGCCTTCACTACTCTCTGCAAAGTTTTTCTTTCTGCAGCTGTGCAGCCTCCATGCCACATGTTGATTCTGGAGCAAAGGATGCTCTCCACTGCACACCTGTAGAAGGAGGTGAGGACTGTGCTTCCCAGACCAGTTCACCTCAGCTGCCTGAGGAAGTAGAGTCTCTGATGAGCTTTCTTGATCAGGCCGGTAGTGTTATTGCCCCAGCTGAGGTTGTCATTCAGGTGTAAACTCAAGTACTTGTAACTGGAGACCACTTCCACCGCAGATCCTCCTATGTTCAGTGGGGGGTAGTTGTGTTTGTTCCTTCTGAACTCCATGACCATCTCCTTCAGCTTCTTCACATTGATGTGAAGGTTATTCTCCTTGCACCAGCTCTCCAGGTGTTCCAACTCCTGCCTGTAGCTGGACTCATTTTTGTTTGTGATGGATCCCACCACCGCTGTATCAACCTCCTGTAACAGTAATCTCATTCTTTCAGTCACTACCCAGAGCTCGTGACCATAGGTGAGGTTAGGAACGTAGACCGACCGGTAAACAGAGAGCTTTGCCTTACAGTTCAACTCTCTCTTCACCACAACAGACCAGTACAGAGTCTGCAATGCTGCAGATCCTGCACCAAACCATCTGTCAATCTCACGCTCCATTCTTCCCTCACTCATGAACAAAACCCTAAGATACTTGAACTCCTCCTCTTGAGGCAGAAGCTCACCCTCGACCTGAAGAGAGCAATCCACCCTTTTCCAGTTGAGGACCATGGCCTCAGATTTGGAGGTGCATATTCTCATTCAAGACGCTTCACACTTGACTGCGAACCGATCCAGTGAGAGCTGAAGATCACGGCATGATGACGCCAACAGGATCACATCATCTGCAAAGAGCAGAGATGGAATTCTGAGGCCACCGAACCGGAAACCCTCCATCAGCTGGCTGCACCAAGAAATTCTGTCCATAACAGTTGTGAACAGGATCGGTGACAACGGGCAGCCCTGGCAGAATCCAACTCCTACCCTGAAGGGGTCCTACTTACTACTGGCAATGCGAACTAAACTCTCACACCACTTGTATAGGGACTGAACAGCCTGAAACAATGGGCCTCCAATCCCATACTCACAGAGCTCCCCCCACAGTGTACCCCGAGGAACACGGTCAAATGCCTTCTCCAAGTCCACAAAACACATGTAGACTGGATGGGCAAACTCCCATATCCCCTCAAGGGCCCTAGTGAGGGTAAAGAGCTGATCCAATGTTCCACGGCCAGGACGGAACCCACATTGTTTCTCCTGGATCTGAGGTTCGACTAACGATTGGACTCACTTCTCCAGTACCCCTGAATAGACCTTACCATGGAGGCTAAGGAGAGTGATGGCCCTATAATTGGAGCACAGCCTCCAGCCCCCCATTTGAAGAGGGGAACCACCACCCCAGTCTGCCAATCCAATGGCACTGCCCCCGATGTCCATGCGACATTGCAAAGGCGTGTCAACCAAGACTCCCCCACAATGTCCAGAGCCTTAAGGAAATCAGGGTGAATCTCATCCATCCCTGGAGACCTGCCTCCACATAGTTTTTTCACTACTTCAGTGACCTCAGCCACAGTTATGGACAGACCAACACTGAAGTCACCCGACTCTGCTTCCTCCTTGAAAGGCATGCCAGTGGGATTGAGAAAGTCCAAGAAGTATTCTTTCCACCTCTCGATGACATCACTGGATGAGGTCAACAGTACCCCGCCTTCAATGAACAGTGTTCGTAAAGAGCTGCTTTCCCTTCCTCAGCCGCCTGACAGTTTGCCAGAATCTCCTCAGAGCTGACAGAGAGTCTTTATCCAAGGCCTCACTGAACTCCTCTCACATTTGATCTTTTGCTTCAGCAACAGCTAAGGCTGCAGACCACTTGGCCCTCCGGTACTCCTCAGCTGCTTCCAGAGTCCCACCAGCCAACAAGGACTAATAGGACTCCAGCTTCAGCTTGACAGCCTCGCTAACCCAGGGTGTCCACCACCAAGTTCAAGAATGGCCACTGTGAGAAGCACAGACAACCTTGTGGGCTCAGTTCAAGGCAGACACTTCAACAATTGAGTTGTGGAACATGGCCCACATGGACTGGACTCAATGTCTTCCGCCTCTGCTGGGATGCGGTTAAAGCTCTCCCGGAGGTGCAAGTTGAAGATCTTTCTGATGGATTCTTCTGATAGGCATTCCTAGGAAACCCTCACTACACGCTTGGGTCTATTGAGACAGTCCGGCATTTTCCTCTGCCATCTGATCCAACTTACTACCAGGTGGTGATCAGTTGACAGCTCAGCTCCCCTCATCAACCGAGTGTCCAAAACAAACAGCCACAAATCAGATGACACCACTACAAAGTCAATCATCGATCTACATCCTAGGGAGCTCCTGGTGCCAAGTGCACTTATCATCTTTATGTTTGAACATGGTGTTTGTGATGGACAAACTATGACTAGCACAGAAGTCCAACAATAGAACACTGCTTGAGTTCAGATCAGAGAGGCCGTTCCTCCCAATCACATCCCCCCAGGTCACACTGTCATGGGTATTGAAGTCCCCTAGCAGAAAAAGGGAGTCCTCAGCTGGTGCACCTTCCAGCACCCCCGCCAAGGACTCCAAGAAGGCCAGATAATCTGAACTGCTGTTTAGCGCATAGGCACAAACAACAATCAAAGCCCGTCCCCTCACCCGAAGGCACAGGGAAAACACCCTCTCATCTACTGCGGAAAACTCCAACACACAGGCATCAAATTGTAGGGCTAAGAGTAGACCCACACCAGCTCAGCGCCTCTCACCATGGGCAACTCCAAAGTGGAATAACGTCCAGCCCCTCTCAAGAAGATTGGTTCTGGAGCCCATGCTGTCGAGGTGAGCCCGACTATATCTAGTCAGTACCTCTCAACCTAACACAAAAGCTCAGGCTCCTTTCTCGTCAGAGAGGTTACATTCCATGTAGCAAGAGAAAACTTTGGTAAGCCAGGGTCAGAGCGCCAAGGTCCAGCCTTCAGCCACTGCCCAAGGCATCATGCACCCGATCCATTTGGCCCTTCTGCAGGTGATGGGCCCACAGGAATGCAAACCCATGTTGCTCATTCAGGCTGAGCCTGATCAGGCCCCATGGGTAGAGACCCAGTCACCAGGGGATCACTGATGAGTCCCTCCCCCAGGCCTTGCTCCAGGGTGCGGCCCCGGTAACCCACATCCAGGCAAAGGACACCTTGTTTGTTTCTGTCCATAAGAGTCTTCTGAATTGTTATTTGTCTGGCCTGTCACCTAGAACTAATCTGCCTTGGGAGACCCTACCATGGGCAATTAAACTTGCTCCAGACAGCATAGTTCCTAGGATCATTCAAGCACACAAACTCCTACATCATGATAATGTGGAGATTCAAGGAGGAGATGAGGAAAAAAATGAGAGGTTTCAGCTGTAAAAGAAGAGGAATAAGAACACAGATCAAAGGAATCATTAAAACACTGCTTGGCATGGTCTCCATAGTAACAAGTGGACGGTGTAGAATCCAATGACATCAACATCGTTCTCACATGTTCTACAAAAACATTTTCCTTCCAAGGTTTGTGAGGGGCCGTCTTTGCAGTCCCATGCCCCTGATAGTGACCACGAACCTGCCAGTCACTTCCTGTGTGTCAACATAATAACAGGCAGAAACAGACTGAAGAAGCTCAGTCCTCACCTCCTTCTACAGGTGTGCAGTGGAGAGCATCCTATGTTCAAGCATTAACGTGTGGCATGGAGGCTGCACAGCTGCAGAAAGAAAAGCCTTGCAGAGAGTAGTGAAGGCTGCAGAGAAGATGTTGTAGTCAGCCTCTCCACCATCACAGACATCTACACCTCCAGATGCAAGAAGACGGCCA